ACCTGCCAACTACCTGCAGCCTGCAGGGCGGGCCAGTCTTATATAGTGCTGGCCCGTCCAGGAGCTGCTCTTGCCAATGCCAAAATGTGCCAGACACTGGGGTTGAAGCTCAAACAAAGGTTGTCTTGAAAATAGGCCAAGAATGGCCTGAGCTAAAACCCTGGTCTGGTGCCTACGACTCAGGGCAGGTCGATCTTATGAGGGCCTGAAAATGGCCCTCAGTTTCAGGCTGAAAAGACTAAGGGCCGAAATGGCCATGATTTATGCTGAAGCGACATAGGGCCTGTAGGCCCTTGTTTTCAGGCTTTCAGGCTGAAAACAACACGGTGCAAGGAACATGAATATGGACGAAGCACAGAAATCCAGAATGCAAAATCACACTGAAGTCCAAGTAGTCAAAGCCAAAGCAGATAGCACATGGAACCGAGCAACCATCCAATTGAGAATGATACAGAAGAATCGTGAGTCAATGTCCATGCCCAACAGGGCAACACCAACAGCATAACCCAAATGTAGCTCTCTCTTGTGAATGGCGCCAGGCGCCCTGTCTACTCTACAGCCTATCCTACAACTACAGCAATGAACAGCAACCAGACAACTTGACTACCAGCGAGTGATGATGTCAACACCAATGCCGACCTCCACCTTCACCAGGTACGTGTCCTCTTCCCCACACTCTCCCTTGTTACCCACACAACGCCCTTCACCTCCGAAGAACCACGGTCGCCCTTCACACCTCTGCGCCCTCTGCAGCCCGGCTATGGCCGCCAAGCGCCCAGTGCCCAGGCAGCGCCCTACCGCCTAGCGCATGCCTGCCTTGCACTACCTCTTAGCGCAGCGCAGCAGCCAGCAGCTCGCATTTGCGCAGCGTGCCGGCATCGCCCGCAATGGCCCAGATCCCTGCTCACTCGCCCTGCTTGCCTATATGTCAGTGCAGCGTGTGGGCGGCCTCCCTTCAGCCTGTGACCGGGGCCCAGAGGCTGAACTCAGCCCGATACAGTTGGGCCCCGGAGCAATGCAGTTGCACCTCTTTCATCAGGGCCTGCGGCCAGATTCAGACAGTGGGCCGATTTCCCTTTGGCATTTTCGGCCTCTATACCCAGCATGCATTGTCGGCCTCACATTCACAGCCCAGGGCCTAACTAACTCAGAGGCCGTGGGCATTTCAGCATTTGCTGAAATCCAAGACTCGGTGCACTCCAACCAACTGGCATGCTGCAACTGTATGGACCCCACTTCGTGAAATGTTGGCACAGAGGGCTCTTGTTGATTTGCTGGCCCGCCTTCACTTAGGGCGGGCACGAGGCTTGCTAGGGCCTTAGCCCAGAACATGTACATCATGGCAAGGCCCCTACTTGAGCGCTCAATCCTCACATTCCATCCCCCTTAGCTTCGAAAATCCGCTGAGATGCTTACTTCGCAGGTGCCTTCCCTTTTAGCTTCCATTCATAGTCTGCCACCACCTGAGGAGCTGTTTCCATCAGTTCCTCACGGAAAAACCACCGATCTTCTTTCGGATCCGTATGATGCCTGAATCTGATCCGGTACTCCCTCTTGGGCTTAGGAGGTCTTCCTCGACCCAGTGACTTCGGAACAGGCATATCCCTGTGATCCACAATATCGTCGATGTCGACTTGTCCATCCATGGTTGGGGGCAACATCGATCTCCTGGAAGGGAATTGATCAGTCTCAGCGAAAGGTGCAAGCTTTGAGGCATGAAAGACTGGGTGAGTGCGTAGGTGTCCAGGGACATGAATGACGTACGTAGGACCATCCATTTCATCTCCCACTACATCCAAGACTTCCCAGGGACCAAAGCATTGAGGCATTAGTTTGCGAGATATTCCGAATTCCTGTCCTAACTCACTAGCCTTGACCCAGACACGTTCCCCTACCTGAAATGTGGACTGTCTGCGATGTTGATTCTCAGAAGCGATCATGGCTTGCTGAGCCTTCTTCATATGTTCAACAGCATCTTGCAGCAATTTCTCATATTGCACACCGTATTCAAGTGTGCCTAGAGTTGCAGCAGGTCGGTTTTCAGGTAGGAGGAAGTCTAATGCTGATATAGGCTTCCATCCTAAGTGCAGCTGGTTAGGACTAACGCCGGTACTGCTATGTATAGCATTGTTGTACACGCTGGCGATGAGAGGTAACTGCTCATCCCAGTCATCCTGGTTGGGCTTGATATAATGCCTCAGCAAGTGTTGTACAACTCTATTCATTTGTTCGGCCTGTCCGTTGGCTTCGGGATGATTCCCTGAAGTCATTTGAAGTTGACTGCCCATCTGTTCCGCAGTCTTCTTCCACAGCTCACTAATGAATCGGACGTCTCGGTCACTAATGATGGTCTTTGGTAAACCAAAGTCCCTTACCCAGTTGTCCTTGAACAACTTGATAACGTATTCTGTCCTG